TGCTGGTTTATAGACTTTTTTGCCGCATGAGTATACGTTGCCCAGGGAGCACCACGTGGAGGTAAATCTATTGCACACCCCTGAATTACAATATTTATTTATTTATTTATATCAAATGGCAGGCGTTGTGAAAGTTATCATTAGCCCTTTAGTTGACTTCAGGCTTCACAGAGGAGGAGGGATATCAAAGTGAAAAAAGTCGAGAGGGAGAGGGGGAACAGAAGAGAATTTCAAAGATGTAAAAGAGACAGACACAAAAGTGGAAAAAGGTGAGGTGAGTACTGTGAAAGTAGTCGAATATGACATACAATGGGGTGGGGGTAGTTTGAAGTCAGAAGTCAACTGCCAGTAAATAGACTTTTTGGCGCATGAGTATACGTTGCCCAGGGTGTACCACGTGGAGGTAAGTCTATCGCACACCCCGAATTACAATATAGTTGCTATTAATTTACCAACACTGATGCATCTGACCATTGACCTCACCTAATGTCTCATCTTGGTTTCAAACACGTTAATCGAGGCTAAATTCTTAAAATTTTAGTCTTCAAGGCATGATAAATCAATGCAATAACTGGCATCCACTGATAGGGTGTGGTCACATTTCACCAGCAAAAAAGTATAGGTCTGTTATTTTTTGTCTCGATTAGGTCGATTTAGAAAGGAAATTAGAAAGAGACGCCGAAACTACAATCCCCTCTCCTTCCTCCTCCTCCTCCTTCTCCTCCTCCTCCTCCTCCTTTCTTGTGAGAATTTCCAGCCTTGTAATTATACCACGTGGAATCGACCACTCCCCATTATTATTATTATTATGTTTGGGAGTAAATTCAAAGTCCTATTGTTACCCCCCCCCCTCCCCCTCCCTTATCAAGATGCTCATATTTTAGTTCTAAATAAAGCAAAAAATTAAGTATTGCCCAAAAAATACCCCACGTCAGATGGTCATACAGGTATATTCGCATGAGTTGCATTGACCATCTGGCCAATTAGAAAAGATTCGCAAATACATGAATTTGATAAATCAATTTAAGAGTTATTTTCAAGAATTTACCCAAAAAAATATGAAGTTTGTTTAAAGGTGTAGTGTGTACTTTTAGAAAGTAAGTGCATTTATGCAAAGAAAATTTTCAAATGTCGAATTTGATTTTGGCATTTGACGCAGGAAGGTATCTTCAATTCATAAATAGGCCAGGTTTGTTTCAAATTTGAACTTTACATTTCTCTATAGCAGCTGGATTAACAGGCGTTTCTTATTAACATATCAACTAAGACCAGTTTACTAATTCACTCTCTCAATTTTTCTTTCAATTTTTTTTAAAATACAGACTTAGCGTGTTACTAAGTCAATATCCTCCATACATGAAATGACAATTTTAGACAAATAAAAAACGCCCCATTTCTACTTATTTTATTGTATCAATTTAAAATATTTATTTATTTCAAATGCCAGGCGTTTTGATAGTTATCATAAGCCCTGTAGCTGACTTCGGGCTTCACAGAGAGGAGGAGGAACATCAAAATGGGAAAAAGTCGAGAGGGGGACAGAATATTGATTCACAGATGTAAAAGAGACAGACAGACAGACGCAAAGGTAGAGAAAAAGGTAAGATGTGTACTGCAGAAGTGGTCGAATATGTCATATAGTAGGGTCAGGGTAGTTTGAAGTCAACTGCCGGTTTATAGACAATTTGCCGTAAGAGTATACGTTGCCCAGGGTTCACCACGTGGAAGCAAGTCTATGTCGCACCCCTTCTACAACTAGTATTAGGCAAAAAAAGAAGACGTCTGCTCAAAAATTGTCAATTGAGGTAGATTATTGACATTTTTTATCCAAATTGTAAATGAGCAGGTTAACTCCGGACAGATTATCAAGTCTTGGGTCGATTATAGGAGATGGTTCCCTTTAGGTTCTTTGTCATAATCACTTTATTGAATTAGGCTATCAAGTCTCCTTCAAATCAAGTTCTTCAACACAAAACCCCCCTAAATAGCCCGTTTTTATTTCTCTTAATTACCGTTGAAAATGGCTGAAATTAATCATCACGGAGACTCATCAATCACTCCTAGCGCCATTAAAGAATTAATTAAACAAGATTAATTAGGAAATTGGGAAGTTGTCTCAGATGACATTTATAAAAGGCCCATCCCTAGTAAGGAATCAGTGTTTATACTGGAGGGAAGGCAGATTTGAAGAGGGTAGAGCCGAATGCGTCCACCAATGTAAACAAACGAAGTATCGCGCCATTTAGAGGGGAGAACAATTCCCAGAGTGAAAGTCACTGGTCAAGCCCCCAACTTTAAAGGTGGTCTTTGCAAAGTTGACGGTGAAGTTAAACACAGTCAAATTAATAAGGTTGTTTTAAATTCTGCCTATTATTATTAACTGAGAGGTGTTACTGTCGTATCCACACTTGTTATTCCTGTCACAACTATTTCCAACTGCTGAATTACGATTGATCTGGAAAAGATTTGTAGCATTTACACGCCACTTATAAATTTCGCTTCGGGTATGCGATAGGCTTGCCTTCACGTGGTGCACCCTGGGCAAGTCTATAAACCGGCAGTTGACTTTGTCTTCAAACTATCATGACTCCACTGTATGTCACATTCCGCCATTTTCACAGTACTCATCTTACCTTTTCTCTGCCTTTGTGCCTGTCTGTCTGCCTCTTTTACATAGGCGAATCATTATTCTAACCTCCCTCTCGACTTTTTGTCACTTTGATGTTTCTCCTCCTCTCTGTAAAACCCGAAGTCCACTAAAAGCCTAATGATAACTATCATAAAGCCTGACATTTGATATAAATGCATAAATTTCGTTTCAAGGCATGACAATTTAATGCATTCATTTCAATTTTCGATTTTTAAACATACTTTTATCGAAAATCTTCACCAGATCTCCCCACTTCTTTTTTCAGTCCTCTCTTTGTCCCACTTCGTTGCCCCTGATCCCAATCTTTTCCAAACTGAATCTATCAGCATCGTTGGTTTTCATACCTACTTTACCGCCTCTTGAATTCGTCAGATTTGAATAGAAAGATGAGTTAGTTCAATTTTTCCTCGTGTGGTGGAATTAACATTTTTTCAAAATGGAGAGGCGTTTGAATGGTTTAAGGCTCTTGAGCAAAATCACCCATTGGAAATGAAGAAATGTGACAAGTTTAGGAGTTTGGAATTTTGATGAGAAAAAAAATTATTGAAGAGTTGAAAATCACGGACCAGTCATCATCATGTTCGAAAGGCCACGCATCATTTACCTCGACTTTTGCTTCGTTAGTATTAAGCTTGCATGTAATATGAGGTAAGTATACTAAAATTTCCTGGGATTATATAAATGCGCATTTATTTTCTCATAAATTATTTTGTGCTTATTTTATTCTTGTAAAGACTATCGCCATTTTCCGCTGTGAGTTAGCTCGATCATGAGTTTTGAAACATCCGGAAATCGGGCACTGGAAGTCCTTGCGGATTGCTGCGTCTCTCGAATTAGTTATTCCACAAAAAAGCATCTCTTTCATTTCTACGAACGCTTACACACCGTTTTTGCTCGAATTCCCCTGAGGTGGTGAAGTTTAAGCTACTTGTTACCACGAGTTCAGAATTACCATAAATTCCTGATATATCGAAACGTTGGTCAATAGAAATTGAAACCTGATTGCCAAAAATATTTCGGAACGTTGAGATTAATCAAATTTATTCCGATTAATATGTCAGACTTGGGTTACACAGAGAGAATAACAGAAGGTTGTATAAAGATTAGCAGCTTTCTATTTGAAATTTTTTCAATTTCTAGCAAGCATCTAATTCTTCATTGGATTTATAATTGAAATCTAAATGTCAGGTGATCATGGAAATATTTATGGGTCGCCTTTTACTCACAGGATAATTGCTTTGGAAAATAAATCCAATTTGTATATGTCAAAACGCCCAATTATCACCGTGATTGTAGACTGTCCTATTAATCATGACCACCCAAATTTTTGGTGAATTGTCATTCATCCACATAACTGACATTTGTGGACGGATGTCCAATTGATTGACACGCCATATTATCACTCAGTTGTGTGGCAAAGGAAGTAAATGATTTAGTTTATTCTGAAACGATAAATTCCATGAAAATCCAAATATGTATACTTTCTATTTTATAAGCTATTGATTTTTTGTCAGTTGTTTTAAACTGCGAGAGAATACCGATCGATAACATATGCCTACGAATTTAGACCAATGGGTCAGTCGTGAATTCATAAAATTTTAAAGATGCAGCACTTTTAACCCATATTCGTGTTTTTTATCTTTTTTTCTTCCAATAAAATTTCACTTAGTAACCTTGTGAGCCAGCGTATTAGGGGAAATGTAGGGAAAGAACGTCCTTTTTATTGTTACCGATTCTATTGGAGGAGGATTTTTTTCAAAAAATCCCATTCTTGCTTCTTTTCCTACCAAAAACAAAAGATTAGTGCTTTTCGGTGGATAACGAAAATCAAAGGAAATGGTTTAGAGAAAATGGGAAAAGCGCAATTATCGGGCATTTAATGTATCCTTGGGAAAATGACTGGAGATATGAACGTTTTAAATACCAACACAATGAATCATTCGTTTTTACAATAAAAAGTGCTCCATTACTATTCTACCTGAAATGAATATAACGAGCTTAATATATGTCTTTATATTTTTGTAATGAATATTAACGTTATGCTAATCGGACAAACAGATTCATGGATAAAATAAACAGAAAATTATTTGACAAAGGATTGGACAGATTTAGTCCATAGATTTCAAGAATTTTTATTTCTTCTCTCTGATATTCATGCGGCATTTCAAGCACTCTTGGGCACTCAAAATTTCTTGTTGTTCCCTCCAACTAAATGGATGCGATTGCGTGAACATCGTTTTCCCTTTATCGAACGCTGGCATTTCATCTTTTTTTCTACTTATCCTCAGTTTGGCCTTGAGCTCCTAGGAAAAGGAGTTGTCCTTTGATGCCCTATGAAGCCAGAGATTTTCATTAGGTTTAGGCTTACCCTCGAATGTTTTTTGTACTCCCTATTGAGCTCATAACAGAAATATCGATAAGTCTATTTACAAGCACTTTGTATCAAGGCTAGTAATTGGCAAGGTTCTTGCATCACATCTGTGGCTCTCGTTCATTAATTTACAAGGATTATTCTTCACAATTTTTTTAATGCTCTTATTGTACTGCATAATGTTACAGTTTAGGTTATAACTTTCTCATACGCCATAGAGAGGTAAAGAAAATAGACTGATCAGAATAGATTAACCTATTTTCCAGATTAGATTTATTATTGTCATCATTATTGACTAATAATTGGCAGAGCTGAGTCTGTTAGAATTCAGATTGATAGGAATGGATTAAATCAATCACTCATAGTAGTGAACGAATGCGATTGGGCAGACAACGGACCAATCGGTAAATAACGGTTGACGATGATGAGAAATCGATATTACACTTCCGGTGTGCGACAGACCATTATTTCACCTTCCTATCAGGTCTCCCTTTCTACAATAACGTGATTTCCAATACTCCATCCAATAAATCACATTTGTTCAATGATCTTCGGAATTCCCAGTGCTTTGTCATTTCACCTTGACCACGAAGGGGTAATAACGATGTTTCATTTTTTACTAGCATTTGGAAGTGTTTGCGTGGACAATTTGCCCTCGACATAAGCATTTCACAAATTTTTAAAATAGGCAACAAACTAGCTCGTCACTGAAGATCCAATATATTGAAAGAGAGGGAAAACTTTCACTTGCTTGCACTGTCCAAAAATTTGCTGACAATCATCATCACTTCGAAGTAAGCTAAAGTAAATGACACTGACAAGTAAATGCGAAAAAAACGTATAATACCTTGTTTCTCGAAAGCTCTTCCAAATTACTGAAACTAATTGGCAAAATAGAGTGCGCATGTGATTACAGATCGGCAAAAATTGATCGGAAGGGCACTCAATAGTATATTGAATTGCTAATAAAGGGTCAACTATTTTTGCTATCTACTACTTCTTGTTGGTTGATTAGTTTCTAATAATTTTTTTTACATTTATAGCCGGTATACAACTCATTTGGGCGTTGTTAATTAAGTCATTTGGCTTTATAAGCCACAATAATTGATTAATTAAGAGTCTACAAGGCATGATTGATTTTTGCTCAAGATGACGGACAAGCCACCTGCCAAGTTATAAGTCCCACTTGGTGATTGCTTCAGTCGATGCATAAATAATGAGAGGCAAGTGGTGTTTCGGTGGGTTGGGGTGAGGTAGGAGGGGGGGGGGGGGGGTGGAGACGCATTGTATTCCCCTGAGGGGAAATGAAGATGAGACATAGTCCCATCGAGTTGACTTAATTATACACCACTGGCTTTTGATAAAGGCATTAATTATTTTACCGCATGGTTTCCCCCAACTCTAATTCACCCTTTATATTCCGTCTAGGAAATACATCTATTTTTTATTATTTCCCCAAAGAACTTCCTTTGAACTTAGTGCAACCACATTTTTTTTTTTTCAACTAAAACCTCAAATTTCCGTTAAGCCAAAAACGCATTTATTATATGAAATTAACTTAATTAGAGTTAATGCAAATCCTTTTATATTAAATCTAATTATATCGGACAGTTGCAGCCCGCAAAGGCGCCTTTCTTTAGCTTAAATAGATGTTAATTATCGTCCAACCTAATCTCATTAGCTGTATTCAAGCGAATCAGCTGTTATCATTAATCATCTTCCATAAACACCAGTACGAACGTAATAAGCACAATTGTCTTCAAAGCCACGGCCTTCAATTGGCTATAGATTGGGGTAATGGACAAACTAGCATGGAATAAATGTCGATCGATATTTTCTTGCCTGATGATAGATTAATGCAAATACCAGAACTTGGTCTAACAGCAAAGAAAGCTTAGCGAATATGGCTCTATTAACGAACCAAAAGTATAGCTATTTTAGAGCGAAAAAAGCCTAAGTAGAATATGTGTAAGACAATAAATATTTTTTGAAGTGACTCAGGAGGACTAGAAGTATGACAGCTTAATGCTTGTGCCGTAAACGAGCCTTTGCCCCTGACATTAGTACTTAACGCAGTGGTTATGGCTGACGTGTATGGCAGTTAGTAACTTACTGTCAAACTCTCACCTGTCCGAAATTTACCCTCGGTATTGACTAACATAATTGACATATGACGTCTGCCTAATTAGTAAAAAAAGGAAAAGAAGTGTGAAATAAACCACGTATTATTAGTCCTGATGAACCGTATCACACGCCCTAGTTGAGGGGGGGGGGGATAAACTTCCAGCTGCCAATAAACATTGATTTATTGATTTATTTGAAAAAAGGACATAAACGCGAAAATGAAGGTCCTATATATATTTATATTGTAGAGTTTATGCCTGACAAAATGACTATGATTTAAGAGCTTATTGATATTCGGTTTTTTTTTGTCTTAAGCAATGAACAATACATGGAAAAATTAAGTGTGATTTTGTTGGGAGGACTGTGCTTTCAAAGGCAATAAATACTGTCAAATTAGACGAAGAGAAGAAAAGATCTTTTTACCATGTGAAAGAAAAACTAATTGCTTATATTCCGAGGTCTGTTATTTCATTTTTGACTGTACTTTCTTTTGGATAAAAAATAGCATCGTCGACAATCTGATAAGGTCAAAAATCTTTTCAAAATTTAGTTTCTTATAAGTTTCATATAACTCCAAAATATTACATTAATTTGGTCCATTTAGATAAAATGTTAGGCAAAGATACGAACTGAACGATGGAAATAGTTATTGGTACAAATTTACCGACATGAAAGACAAATTGGAGATTCCAAAGATTAAAATGAGTGTTATGAATGGCTAGTTTTGCATTCGGAGACTCGTTCTTCTTTAGGTTTTATTTCTCGAAATTTTAAGAGCGTTTGACCAGCTACCCTTTTAAGGCAAGTGAATTAATTCTGAATTAGATTTCGGTTAAATAAACCAAAAACCATCTACAGTTGAGATTTACTTGATGTAGGAAAAGAAC